AAAGAGACTAAGACATTCTAGTCATAATTGAAATGAGGGTGTTGTAAGAGTCATCTCAAACTTTTGCAAAATGAATCTCTTATGAGGAATCTCTCGAATAAATGTACAGTTAGCAAATTCAATGACGAATTTGCCATGCATGGTTATAGAATGATGTGGTTAGACAAGTTTATAACTGCGTTTCTTCAAATTTCAGTTGACTACTAGGAAAGGAGAGGACTGGAGTTAGCATCGAACAGCTTTTTGTTCTCATTTCTCTTCCATACTTACTGATTGTTTGTAACTGAACATGAAGACAAATTTCAAAAAGTGGAGTACATGGGGCTTAATGGGATAATCAACAAATGTGGTCGAGAGAGCATGGAAGAAACTCTGTGTTATGGCTGCCAAATAGAAACATAACAATAGTGGTGATATTTAAAGTTTTAGAAGGAAACAAAGCTAAAAAGCACAAGTGAAATTAATTTTTAATTAATATTTTATTAAATATTTAATTTGAATTTATTTAATCTAATATATGAAAACATTTCCACTTCAGCATATTATCCATATACAATTATTAAAAAGATTTTTTTTATTCCTTCTTGTATTTCATTTTCTGAAGCTAGTGTCTTTTTATTGAAAAATAATTTTTCTGAAAATGTGTTTGGATCGGTTTCTTTTTCTCCAACTTCTCCCAGAATTTCTCTACATTTTTATCCCTCCCCTCCCCTTTCTTTCAAACAGAAAAACTACAAACAAATCAGAATTAACAAAAAAAAGAAAATAGAAGCACAACAACACACACACACACACACACACACACACACACCAAAATCCATAAAAAATAAAAACACAAAATTGGAAAGCATACAAGCAAGAGAACAACCAGACAAAAATGCTATTGAGTTCGTTTTGTTTTGGCCATCTACTTCCTTCTGCATGTGGATTGTATGATCTAATCTCATTACATGGTAATTGTCTTACAGTTAGTTAAAGCTGCCTGTGCTCCATTTGCTGTATATAAATTGTCTCATTCCAGTACCAACAAGTGAGCTTCTCTCACCCGTCGTCTTGTAGTAAATGGCCAAAAAAATGAGAAGTAGGGCCTCCGATTAACTTAAAAGCAATTATGCATAAAGAATTTATAAATCTGTTTACCTGGACGGAAACAAAACATATCATATACATGCACCAAACATTACATGGTACCTCACTAATAAGTACAGCTTTATTTATGAGTTTCACTTAACGATAAGTAAGTAAATGAGAACAAGAGCAATCCACCTGTTGTATCAAAGAACAGTTAATCGTCATTAGTATTAGTCTCCAGGCAACTCATCTCTTACTTACTTCATTCTTTAAGATTTTCACATTTTTAGGATGTCTTTGTATATGTGTGTGTTTGTGTGTGTGAACACTCATGCACATATGTGTGCATGTACCCACGAAGGCTAGAATCCCCCTGGAACTGGTGTTATAGGCCCCTCCAGCTCCTCCTGTGTCCCTTTCCCATACTCCCTACAATTCATGACCTTTTTGATAATTATTGCTGTTGTGTACACCAAAAGCAAAGCAAAACAAAAAGTTGTTGTGGAATATTATTTTAAAATTTGTTACATTTGTTTATGTTGTGCAGCATTTGTTTAATGATGCAAAGATGTGTTGCATTTTTTTATGTTGCATTTGTTTAACTCTGTGAAACTGTTACTTTGTTTGTCTAAAACACCTGATTGATCTAATAAAGAGCTGAACAGCCAGTAGCTAGGCAGGAGAGAGAAATAGGTGGGACTGCCAGGTAGAGAGAATAAATAGGAGAAAGAGAAACAAAAGGAGCGAGAAAGGGAGAAGGAAAGGAACAGCCACATAGCCACACAGCTAGCCACGGAGTAAGAAGTAAAGAAAGGTATATAGACTAGAGAAAGGTAAAAGCTCAGAGGCAAAAGGTAGACGGGATAATTTAAGAAAAGCTGGTTAGAAATAAGCCAGGCATTCATGAGTAAGAATAAGTCTCTGTGTATTTATTTGAGAGTTCTGTGGCAAGTCCCCAAAGATCAAAGTGTAAAAACAAAAAAGAACCAACTACAAATAATGAGTCTAGTTAGTGTTGCCCACATGTACATGTGTATGGTTAGAAGTGACCACTTAGGATTGGGAAATTTGTTATCGGGGGCTCATCTCTGAGGAAAACTAATTCTCTCTCCTGGAGCAGCTGTTGACTGCCTGGGGCTCTTCATCTAGATGTGCAACAGCCTTGTGAAAATTTCCTGTATCCTCATTTCCATGTCCACTGTGAAGGTCCTATGCAACCATATTTAGAGTATATGGGTGCAGCACCCCAGTCATGTCAGGAAGACTAGCTCTCCCTGCAGTTGCTCTGGTCCTCAAGTCTTACACTCTTTGTGCCCCCTCTTCTACAATGATCCCCAAACTTTAGTTGTAGGGGTTGTGTTGTAGATATTCCAGTTGGGTGTAGACATAAAACAGTCAGTTGCTCTCTGCTCTTTGGTCAGGTGTGGATCTCTGAGGCACCCTCCCCCCCCCACTGATAAAAGATGCTTCTTTGATAAGGGCTGGAGGTACATTTATCTTTGAGTAGAAATCTAAATATTGAAGCTGGATTGATTATTCTAAAAATGATAGTAGTAGGTTATTTCTTTGGATTATGACTTCTGCAAGCACAGGCTCTTGACTGGGTTTACAGGAACAGAAATTAGCTACCTCCTCCGGAATGGGTCTCAAGTCCAATTAGACAACTGTTTTGTAGTCCTCAGACCTGACTGCCACTTTTGCACTATTGGGAAATCCTGTCAGTTCAGTTGTTATTGTGGTTCTTGGGTTGACAACTGGGTCAGACTCTTAATAACTTTTCTCCCTAGGCAGCTTGCATAGCACCTTTGGATACATTGAGAACTAGCCATTAAGAGAGGAGGCTTCCAAGTCTGGACTGTAACCAAAGTGCATGGTGTCTTCAGCAATAGGGCCATGCCTTCAAGTTGTGGGAGGTAATCAGGGGGAATGGAAATAACCTATATTGTTTTGATGGATCTCCTGGCCCTGGGGGGATTTTTGTTAGATACTCTGTGGCTCTTGGGAGAGCATTCTCACTCCCATGTTGGGTAACTCTTTTTCAATATATCCTATACTGCCTCCCGAGTGCTGGGATTAAAGGCGTGCACCACCACTGCCCAACATATAATGCATTTTAAATAAGCTTATAAAATAATGTGTTTTCTTACGGGTTTTTCAAACATTCCTAGTGTTCTTTATCTCTCCTTCCTCCCTTTCCCTCTGCATTACCCATCCTTACTGCCTCAAGCCCCTCCCCGTTTTCTCTTTGCACCTTTCCCAGCGCCTGTGCTTCACTAGTCCCCTCTCTAGTACTCCTCCTCCCTTCCTCAGTGGTCTTTTTCTACTTTCTTGACTTTTTGTTACTCAAGTTATATATGCAAATCTGAAGATTCAGAACTAGTAACAAGAATTAAAAGAGAGCATGCAGTAAGTATTTGTCTCTCTGCTTCTGGGTTACCTCACTCAGCATATTTTTTCCAGTTCCTTCCATTTGCCTGCAAATTTCATGATTTCATTTTTCTTTTCAGCTGAATAGAATTCTATATCATATCTGAACAAACCCACATATTAAGAGAAAAGAAGAAATCAAGTTATTGGATTTTTAACACAGACCAAATGTATCATTTAAAAAAAACTCAAATGTTCATTCAAAGAATAACTTTAAAACCATAAGCTTGTATGTAAAAAGAAGGAAAAAGTATGACTAATGAAAGGCCTGAAGAAATAGCATCTAAAATATGTTCTCGCTCACTGTTTTGACTCCATCCCCCATTTCTCTCACTCTTAACTGTTCTGACCAAAAATGATTTAAGACTGGAATTCTGCTTGCCTTATCATCAAGTACACACAGATGGTGATGATAAAAACAGATATGTCCCATTTGTATGATGGTGTTTTAAACAGGAGTGATACATAACTCACAGTAAACCTGCAAGAGATGACTGGAGGAGCTAGATGTAGTATATGGGGAAGTCTCTGGAGACTAGAATCTAGTCCCAACTCTACTGCTTTCAGAACAGTGGTCAATGAATCATAAGCTAGTTGACATTCTATTGTAAACAGACTTTTTATTAGGTGACTTTTGCCCAGTGGTAGCTTACCTAAATATTCTAAGGATGTAGAAGATAGGTGTCTTATGGTTTCCATTGCTGTGATAAAGTACCATGACCAAAAATCAACTTATGGATGCAAGGGTTTATTTTATCTTATAGCTCGTCATGCATTGCTGAGGGAAATTAGGACAAGAAACTGTAGGCAGAAGCTGATGCAGAGGCCATGGAGGAGTGATTCTTACTGGCTTGCTCATCATGGTTTGCTCAGTCTGCTTTCTTATAACAACCAGTTGTAGGACTACCAGCCCGAGGATGGCACCACCAACAAAGGCCGGGGCACTCCACCACCAATCAATAATTAAGAAAATGCCCTACAGGCTTGTATACTGCCATATATTATGGAGGTATTTTCTCAATTGAGAGTCCCTCTTCCCAAATGACTTTCGTTTATGCCACGATGACATGAAACTATCCAGCACAGTAGGTCATGCAAGCTAAGCTATGAGATTCAATAAGTTAGATATATTAAAATACTTTTCTTGCCCTTTCTTTCTTTCCACATCGCCCTTCAACTCACTTTGTAGCTGCAGATGATCTCTACTGTCAGCCAACTCCTCCTCCTACCACCTCCCAAGTTCTGAGTTTGCAAGCATGCAACACCATTCTCAGTTTTATGTGGTGCTGGGGAACGAAAGGAAGCTAGGCACACATTTTACCAGTTGGCCTATATCCCTAGCAGAGGACTTTCAGGTTAATGATATTTTTCATAGTGGGTTAACTGGGATATAGCTTCGTCATCAATTTCACTAATTTTTATCTCTCTCTCTCTCTCTCTCTCTCTCTCTCTCTCTCTCCCCTGTCCTCTCTTCTATCTCCCATTTTCTTTTCTGTCCACAGTTACTGTTTTGAGCCCAGTAGAAAAAGGTAAGTGTGTATTGTGAACTGTGTTGGTTAGAAATGTATTATGTATCCTTTTCTTTTTAAAAAAGTGAATTATATAAAGTCTATAAACTGAGGAACTTTAACAAAAATATACTTGGTTTATTAGAACAATTAGGGTGATTTATTAAATGAAGCTTACTCAGAAATAGAGCAAGTCATATTTTTTGGTGGCCCTTTTGGCTATAAGATAGCAATTAGAAATGATATTCATCGTGAGATGGACACAGGTAATCACATTATCTTCCACAGTGACTCCTAAGCTCTCTCTTGTTCTGCCATTATTGTTCTAGATACCTGACCTTTCTTCCCAACCCATCCCCTCTTTAAGATATAGAGTGAGGATCCCACAGACCTTGACCATCGCAGCTCCTGTATATTTTTGTGCTCCTCTCCAGATCATCACCATCTTAGCTTGATCTACATACATTTTTTAAAAACACTGAGGCACTTTGCATTTAAAATGTGTAAGCGAATCATAAGTCTCCATGAACAATTAGCTCTATATTATTTTATAAGTAAGATCCAGAGTATATATAGTGTAGTTTACAATGTCACTTTTAATTCTCATTTCATGAGAGTTTGTTGTTAGAATTCATGGACCTTCCCAGCATTCAAGATCTGCTGTGTTACCATTCTGCTTTTTATTGGTCATTTAACATGAATAACAGAGCAGTAGGAATGGGAGACAATGGATAATAGTACTTAAAAGTGTGGGCTCTAGAGCCAGATTGAATTTACAGCTTGGTTCTTTTTTTTCTTAATAAAATATCTTACCCTCATCCTATTATTTGCATACATAATAGAAGCAATAATACTACCTAATTTGTGAAGATGTTATGAAGACAGTTTAATTGCACATGAAGCAGTTAGAACAAAGGTGAACAGAGCACATCCTAAAAGCTCAATAAACATGTACTGTTATTGTGACAGCAATAGAGCAAGTCATAAGTTGCCATTTATTCTTATGTATGGTTCTTACAGACAGAAATCATCTTGTATAAATACTAAATAATTATAAATATTTTCAATTACAAACTTTCAATACCAGCTGGATGGGGTTAACTTAAGTGATATTCTACCATAAAAAGCATAACAATGTTCTTATTATTCCAAATAATAATAATAACTTATTGTGCTTTGTATCCTGCTAATACAAAAATGTATAATTTTATTGTCTCTTTTGACTCTAGGAGTCCAAAGTTCTTTTCCCCTGACAATTCTTAAATTTATCCACACAGTAATCAATGACATTATATTTTGCATCTACATTCTGTACTGGGGTATAGTGGAATTTAGGAAACAGAAGGTATAGGTTGGAGATCTAGCTGTGCCATTTGCTAGCACTGTGACCTTCATTGGGTAACTCGCCTTCTTTGAACTTTAATTTTTGTAAAAAGTAGCAGCACTTTGACATCTCAAGGCTCTACTGTAAACTAATAAATATCTGTAGCTAGTCTGCTTGTTAGGAATCCTGATGTAAAAGAGTAACAACTGCGACATTAACACCTAACAAAGCAGACTTGCTATACACAGTAAGCTAATGACTATCTGAGGTCCCTAAAAACTCTGTAAATTTGTGACTTGTCTCCAGTAACACTGAATCTTTAAAGTAGAATTAAATAAGTAACATGACAGTCAGGCGGAAAGGAAATCTCCAAATTACATGACTTTTTATTGTCTCCAAAGTTGAAGAAAACTATAGTCAAACATACTGGAAAAGGTTTGTATTTTTGGTCCCCTTTATGGCTCCTATACTGGGTTAAATAGTCTTCCAGCAAAATTCATGGCGACTTGAATCCTTGGGGCATGTCCCTATTTATAATAGGATTTAGGGTCATTATGTAATCATGTCAAGATGAAGTCTTACCAGATTAGTCTGAGCCTCAGTAATTTGTGTTCTAAAGGAAATTTGCATTTGTAGAAAGATAAAAGACCCACTGTCAGGAGGAAGAGTGGTCATGGTGTCCTTGAAGGAGCATTAAAGTTTATCTGAAACCAAAAGAAGTTAGGAAAAAGCAGGGAAGCATTTGGTACTGGAGTTTTTTTTTTGGTTTTTCGAGACAGGGTTTCTCTGTGGTTTTGGAGCCTGTCCTGGAACTAGCTCTTGTAGACCAGGCTGGTCTCGAACTCACATAGATCCGCCTGCCTCTGTCTCCCGAGTGCTGGGATTAAAGGCGTGCATCACCACCGCCCGGCTTGGTACTGGAGTTTTAAGCAAGAGTATACTCCAGAACGTTGAGGGAATACATTTCTGTTTTATAAACCGTTGGGGACCAGACTCAACAAAAACAAAAATACTTCTTGCCAGGGTAGAGGCGTGGGGATTTAGAAATATAGTAAAGAATATGAAGATGCAAATGAAAATAATAAAATGGAGAAACAGAAAAGTATCAGGAGGGAATTTCAGTGAGTACTGGAATTCGCCCGAATTAATTTCCAATTGCTTAAAGTACCCCGGCCCCAAAATGTAGGAGTAAGACAAAAAAAAAAGAAACCTGTATTAACATGATACAAGGAAATGAACATACCAATTGAAGGTCATAGTTAAACATTCTGTTGCTAGAAAAAAACAAGTCACGCCCACACCCTAGACCAAAACATTCTGTAGGCAAACCACTCCATTGTTATCTCCATAAATGGGGCTGGAAATTAGTTGAATCCTTAGACTTTTGTTTGAGGTAGAAGCAGGTCTACTTCTCTATTCCTTAAATACAAGGTCTGGATATTAGCCACACCTGTTGATAATAACCTTGGGAGAGGAGAACTCTCTGCTCTAAATCTAGGTGGGACCTTCGTTTGAGGTAGAAACACAAACCTTGAAGGAATAGAGGTAAGTTCCAATTCTCTGATCTTTGGACAATGTGGAAATAGGCTCCACAGTAAACCAGCCAAGTTTAGTTTCCTAAAGCCCCAGGAAACTAATAATGTGACTAGTAAGTTTCAAATTTCAAAATTCTTTTCACAGTGCTTTAGAAGTTAGGAGACTCGTAACATTAACAGATAAGTAAGACTTTGGTGTCAGACCTTCCTGGGATTAGTTGACTTTGCCACTTCCTATGTATATGACATGGGGAAATTAAATTAGGTTTCACTTTCCTCTTTTGTAAAATGAAGATAACACTTACCTTCTATGAATATTCTGAGCAAATAATTTAGCATTGTGCCTGGTATATGATAAATAGAAGTAGTAGTAGGTACTATTACTGTCTGATGATAATAATTGCTGGTACTAACATTGGAAAGGAACTGGAAGGTTCTTCTAAGAAGTATGCCATATTCCAGGACGATAATTCCTCATGATTCCACTTGTGAATAGATGGTCAAAGTTCATGTATTCATATTGTAGAACAGTTGAGATTTAAAGAAATAAAATATTTTTACTTAGTAATGTTGATTCTTGTGAAAAAGAATAGAGGCTAAAGTCCAGGTCATCTGCAGCAAATATCACAATGATAGATACTATAACGGAAAAATTAAAAATGCTGCAGGATCCCCATGGCAGCAGGCAGAAATGTTGTGGGTCCCCAAGCAGTGGTAGTGGGTCATGTGGCAGCAGGCAGCGGGGCCCTGAGAGCAGCCAGTCCCAGGCAGAGATGGCTGCCTGTCCCCTAGCAGTGGCTGGCCCCAGGCAGGGAGACACAATGGCGGGAGGGTAAGAGACCGAGACATGGATAGGCATGTCATGCAGACTGAGGTTGGATATTTATTCAGGGGTTATGGAGGGGGAAGGGAGAAGGGGAAAAGAGCAGAGAGAGAGAAGAGAGAAGGAGTGGACATGGCTTGTCTCTTAAAGAGACAGAACAATTATTACAGATATTGTATGAACTTTGACCTCTGCTTACTGGCTTGATTTCTCTGGCTTGCTCAGAATGCTTTCTTATAAAACCCAGGACCACCAGCCCAGGGATGGTGTAAGCGGAGACTGCTCTTTTGTTTTCCAGTCACCCAGACCTGAATAACCACAGAAAAACTATATTAATTAAAAACACTATTTGGCCAATGGCTTAGGTGTATTCATTCCTAGCTCTTACATCTTGAATTAACCCATTGCTATTAATCTGTGTATCACCATGAGGCTGTGCCCTGCCAGTAAGATCCCTGCATCTTTCTCCTTCACAAGCTACATGGCTGACTCTGCCTTCTTTCTCCCTGCATTCAGTTTAGTTTTCCCCACCTAGCTCTATTCTGCCCTGCCATAGGCCTAAGCAGCTTCTTTATTAACCAGTGGTAATAAAACATATTCGTAGCATACAGAGGGGAATCCTACATTAGGATGGTACCATACCATGGGCTAGACCCTCCCACATTTATCGCTAATTGAGAAAAAGCCCTACAGCTGGTTTTTGTGGACGCATTTCCTCAACTGAGGCTCCTTCTTCTCTGATGACTCTAGCTTTTGTCAAATGGACACACAAAACAAACCAGTACAAGGATCAGAGATAAGCTAACAAGTGGAAATTTAATAAGAACCAAGAATGAAGTAAGGCTAAAGATAAACTTAAGAATGACATGCACATTAGGAATGATCCATCATTTGGTCCAATTATAATTAAAAGTAATACACTGTTCACAGTTGCTCATCTTTGCAAAACACCATTAATCATTGTAAACAAAAGTTCAGTGCATCCTCTGCAGATTCATTAGATTTTTGAAGGTTTACATTCTAAATTCTCTGGGTTCTTCCTTAAAGTTAAATGATTGCAATTACTTACCTTCTCAAAAATGGTTGTACTTTATAAATATTAAAGCTATTGTGGACTTGAGTCCCCCCCCCCAAAATTGATGGATGGTGTCTACCTCCCTGCACTCCAGAATATAACTTTATTTGAAGTAATTAAGTTAAAATGAGTTCACTGGATTAGGCTCAAATTCAGCAATAGAAACCCTAGCTAAGACAATCTTCATTTCAGGGTTAGGAGAGGGAAAAATTTGCAATTAAGATCTTCAACATAGTATCATTGTGAGGAAGAGCATCTTTATAA